CAGAGTTATAAGACTCTCTTACGACCCCAGAGTCCTACGGCCTGGACTGCTTTGTCCCACGATTCGCGCGAACGTGTATTTCCCGATCCAGGAGCTGTGGTGCCCGCCTCAGACAGTCTCAACCTTACTGTCGGAGAATCAAAACTGGGACGAGCTATCTGCGATTACACTTGCGCCTGATTATGGGAGTGTTCTACCGGCACAGCATCAATGGGCTCAGTGGCTTGAGGACTGGAATATCTGCTTGCGTGTCATAGGCGGTCGCTCTCTGACACGCCTCAGATTGGTACTGGGAATCCCGGCTTGCCCGTTTCCTTCCAGCGCACCGGCCGTCTCTATCGGAAGCCTGCACGGGGTTGAACACCTGATCTTAGATGTACGGCACAGTCCCCACCTAATGCATAATGTACCGGTAAGTACAAACATCAGTGACGATTTCGTACCTACTCAGTCTTTGCTTCTAGGAATACCTGAAGGCATGGCTCTCTTCCCTGACAAGAGTACAGAGCGTCACTCTGGAAGGCCACCCCGAGCTTCGTGACACCAGCCTGGCAGCTTTCCTGAAGATGATGGTTGGCGCCAGAGCCGTAACATGTAGAGCATAAGCATATGAGACCTGGGCCTGATTCATCCGATGGACCGGGGCTTCGTCCGCAACATGCTCTTTTCCATATTTTACATAGAATATCTGTCTGCTACCACCTTGTCATTTCTTCGATTACGTAGCTTATGACCCCTAATGAATACGAAGTTCGAGGCAAACTGCAGACAAGAGAAGGAGAAGATACATCGAACACCATTACGACAAATTAAAGGTGCTGGTGATGTGGGAGACAAAGGGACGCGGCCGCGGCGTATACGTAGCATGAGCATCAGCATTCAAAGATATATTCCCAGGAGAGGTACATAACCATGGATGGTGTATAATGATATTATGGATGCAATGGATGAGATACAAAATGCGAACATACAGATCGAGGATGAAACGTACAGCTGTGTTCTACGTACAGACCAAAGAGAAATAAATCAAGCGAGATATCTATGCACTGGCCAAACCTGTGGGGAGACGGCCATTTTCAGTCTTACACCTGCTTGAACGCCGTCCCTCCAGCGGCAGCATCTAACTCGATGATGTCTTTCAGGCCTGTACCGGGTGTCAGAAATGCCCATGGATGCGTATGATCCAATGCACTTACCCATAACCTCGAAGAACGCCTTCGGGTCCATACCCCGCGCCGAGGTGAAGTCGGTGCCGGTTTTCTTGAGCAGGTGCATGGCCTCCCGGATGGCATGGGTGGCAGCGACGCAGGACACGAGAGAGTAGACTGGATACCAACCGTCAGCTTTGAGAAACGCGGTTGTTACCCGGCATACTGACTGATGATCTTTGCGCCCATCTCCTCAGCCTGCTGGTAGGTGAAGGAGGGGGTCAAGCCACCTGAGATGACGTTCACCAGCACGGGTTTGGGGGCCAACTCCGCCACAGTCTTCTTGAGGAGCTCAGAGGTCTTGACACCCTCGATGAAGCAGACATCGGCACCGGCGTCTGCAGCGAGCTTCAACCGGGTGAGAGCCTCCTCCATTCCCAGCACCTGCGCGGAGTCGGTGCGACCAATGATGACCTGGTGTCCAATATGCTCAATTTTTTGACGTCACATACAGAAACAGGTAAGCTCACGAAGTCTGATCCTCCAGGGATGGAGTCTCGAGCAATGACGGCGGCCCGGATGCGAGTGACGAATTCTTCCCGGGAGACGACCTGCTTGCCGAGCAAGTGGCCGCAGCGCTTAGTCTGCACCTGGTCCTCGATGTGCATACCAGCAACACCAGCCTTGGCATATTGCCAGACTGTGCGCGCGACGTTCGCGGGCCCGCCGAACCTTGGAAGAGAGGTTAGATGAAACAAGCTGTATTCAATAATATAACTTACCCAGTGTCAGCATCGGCGATTACGGGCATGGTGGGGTCGAGGCTGCAGATCATCTGAGCGCTCTGGACGAAGTCGTTCAATGTGGCAATGGCTACGTCTGGTTGACCCAGGCGGGATGCTGTGGTGGCAGCACCGCTATGACAATAATTTAGAAATTGTAAGGGTTGCGTAACAGAATAGCTAACCTTTGGTATAGACAGGTGAAGCCTGCTTCAATTGCACAGCGAGCACTGATACCATCGCACACGCCCGGAGCAGCCTGAGGGCGAGCCACAATAAGTGATTCTGCGTTCTGGGAAGCTATACGTTGACTTACGATGATACCAGGACGGGCCAACATTTGCCGCAAACGCGTAGCCGGGTTCCAGGATAAGGGCCCCTCGAGGTAGTTCTTAGGGTCCAAGCGAGGGTTGTAGTAGACACCCTCTCGACGAGGCTCGGAGTGACCATTGGTGTCGGCCTTGATGTCTTCTACCATAGCATCGACATTTCGGGGAGGGACGTCAACAACCGTCTCAGTGGTCTTGCTCTCGGTGGTCTTGTACAAGTCGAAGCCGGGCATGTTGACAATGTATACAAGGGAGGGAAGGTCGGATGATTTCGAGAGCTAGTCGGATTGGCGACTGGAGTGAGTCGATGAAGTCCAGGCAGAATACGAGCCCGTATATATATGTTCTCGGGGCAGCTTGGGGAGCAAGTCTTTCGGGACGGCAGTCTGCTTATTCCCGCTCCGATGTGGGTTGTACGGTGGACGCAGAGCGCGCTAAGCAAAGATCTTCCCCACAAAGAGATCGGACGTCGCAAGCCTAGAAGTCCCGCTTTCCAGACGTTCTGCAACCGAACAAGCTGACAGGTACGAGGACACAGGGGACTGCATGGAGCATTGGCATATTCAGGATCTATAAAAGTCTATGACGGGCTCTGAGACGAAAGAAGACCCCTACCATAGTATAATCTCGCCAAGAGCATATGATGCCAAGTAAGAAGTTTCCGAAGCAGCATATTTTCCATCAAATGAGCAAGCCTTGGGGGTCAACCGTGAGAAATTCGTTAACAGTCTATGACGAAATTCGACGTCCACCTACTCCTGTAGTTCTTACGACAGCAGTAGTCCCTCCGAGCCGAAAACTCAGAGACTAAGGCCCGTTTGGCGTCCTCGGTTGTTGTTATAACGTTATCGCATAGCATTCGAGGATATGGGTCCACCTGCGCATACCGTAGAATGACTGCTTCTTTGAACCAGCTGCTTCTTGCCAAGTCGGACACGAGCATGAGAGTCGATTTCGGTAATTCAACGTCAGACAGATATAGTCGTTCGGTGTCCAATATGCTTGAGGATCAAGGTCCCATAACTCTGAGCTTGAGAACAACAACGAAGGTCGGGGAAAAGGACTCCCACTTCTTCTGAGTGATCTCCCGCGAGTGCCGCATGATTGAGACGGGTCGGACATCGACTCAGCGCTCCGTCGTTCCTTTAGGCCCGCAAGCGGCGATAGAATGCGGTGCTAGAGTGAACGGTGCCTTGTTCGCTGGTGTCAGTCCGGGATAAGGGACAGTTACAGAGATAGACGAGAGAGCCAGTGTAAGCGCAGAGCAGTGGAACTTGAACAAAGTGAATGCACCGCCCGACAGAAATGTGCTGGTACTTTGACAATAACGTATGATGAGGAACATTGCGGCATTTACGAGATTATTACAGGTATCGCGGAGTTACCCAACGACCATCGGGGAAACCCGGCTTGGCACTTCTTCCTTCTCGAATTGAACCCGAGTATTCGCCTTGTATTTTGCACGTTCTGGTCCGCAAATGCGACAGATAGATGGGGCTCTGGAATACAACTGCGAACCAGGACTGTCTTCTAGTGCTAGGATACTGCTTTCGGTTGACTTCCACCACGCCAGGCTGATTAACACCAGAAAGAGATAATAATCGCAAATATGCATGGCGACTCCCTTCGACAGAGTATGACTTCCTCCAAATTGCCACCCTCTCGATACTACAAATGTTATTTTCAGTCGCCTGTATCCCGGACCTTCACTGGCAGAACTGAGCCGGCACCGTTCACTCCCAAGGCCTCGTTGAAGACTCGGGCACTGACAACACAGAGCTTGAGAGCAGCCAAATAAATTGCCCATCAAATTCTGATAGCATAGCGAATCAGTGAAAATGCTCATACCTCTTCCACGTAATCAGTGAGTCACTCAAATTGACAAGACCCGCCCCTTCTTGCCCAGAGTACTCGGCATATTGCTGATCTTATCCTGACCTTGCGGATGACTCTTTCACGACTGAGAGTCTTCCTGCTGAGTGAAAGCGCATCCCAAATTGCTATTGCATAACACCTGCTATCAGGACTGACCCCCCCTCCCAAGTACCCACAAAGTGGCTGCCCTTTCGGATAAAAGCATCGAAGTAAAAACCTCCTGTCAATGTTGTGTGTAGAAATCCGGATAGGGATGTGTAACACCTTACCCAGCTTCATTAACCTACGGGAAACCTACCGGAGTATCGGAGGATCTGCTCCTTCAGGCGTCTGAATGGGAACGGCCGCCATGGTGGGTTCAATCTTCACTCTTCGTGTTGATTACTAATTTTTTGTTGTACAAAGTACTGTTCGTGTGACTAGTGCTCTCCTCGCTGTCCCGCCCGATGGCTGATCTTGGGTTGCTCAAGCCGCTCTACACCCGCCATCTTCCTTCCTCGGTTCCTCCGTCCTGACCCGAGCGCCACGAAACATTCATGGCATCGCGGCTTCGATGATACCGAGGTCGATGACTCATGATAGCCGAGGCAAGGGACTGGATAAGGCTCCTCGCTGAATCTCCACTCACGTGGATGAGGAACGCCGTGCGTTCCCTACGTCCACTGAATGGATCGGCCCAAGGATAACTATCTCGTTGAGCCGACCAACGGTCAGAGGCTCTGGGATACTGGATTCCTCATCTGTAGTACACCCTGGGCACGGAGAGTTCGTCGCACTCTGCCTTCATTACGTTTTGCAATTGCCTTAGTGCCTTGCCAATCTTCCTGTGACCTAGAAGTGCGAATATAATAGTAAGCCCCATTCAAAGTCAGGATCACAATATACGCTGACGTATGACATGGAAGGCCTGCATCACGGATCATAACACGCACCGTCTAAGAGAGTGAATGTTGACCGTACGTCGTTAAGGTTCCCACAGACCCACCAGGGATCCCCCTTCAAATCCAAGGTCGTGTTAAGCTGCCGAATTGCCTTGCAAGGTTGGATCAGTTGCCAAGCCAAGTAATCTAGGCTTGGGTCAGGCCTCGGGCCAATCCACCCTCCGAGAACGTACGTGGTCGCTTATCAGCTCGCGACTTTGGTTCAGCTTCATACAAGCAGCAACGATCTTCGCAGGAAGTCAAGCCTGCCAAGCCCAGCCCATAGTGTTGCGAACCATGCGTGGTGTTCGATTCTCGAATTGACCAGCAATGTGATGCCCAAGACCAGCTGCGATCCCTCTCCCCACTGTCCGACTTCCATGGAACTTATTTATATGCAGCGCCATTTTTGTATGGGTCCGCGCTTCATATGCGTCGCCCGCTGACCCAAGCGGTCATGCCGCAATTACGGGAGGGAAACGGTGTGAAGTCCAGTCAGGTGCGTCCGGCTGAATAGTGGTCGTAAGCCGGAATGTTCGCCCATTGAGTTCTGCCTTGTCAATCGTCCGGGGGTTCAAATGGTACGTTTCACTCAATTGTGTACATAGCCATGAGGTCGTCAAAACCAAGTGAATGACTTATAGTTCATTGAGCTTATCCGTGTGCTCAGTCCCCAGCAGAGAAATCCTTACCATTATCATCTTGAAGTAAATCTGTATGATTCCACCGTATCTGACGAGGTCCATTGACATTGTCGTAGCTTCTGCCGCAGTCGAAATTCTCTTGTTCCGGTTTTCAGTGTTACCATGGCTCATAGCGGCATATACTACGAGCCTCATTTTCCCGCTACCGTAGGTAGTGGGTATTAGACCCCCCGCATGTTCGCAGGTTTCCTAGATCGTTTCAAAATCTGAGCGAGCACGTGTTGCCACATGGCGGGTACTTTTTATGGTAAACGGCAGGTTTGGGACAAGCGATATTACAGCCATTTGCAGATCGATGGGCCCACTTTTTGAAAATCATTTACAGTCGGACCACGTCGGACAAGCAATTTCAAGTCCCCGAGAGACAGAAATCCGACCATCTGGACTTCTCTACCTTCTTCCGACGTCCCTGGCACCCACTCCGACCCACTCCGACTATACGTGGTTTTCTGAATTGATGGTCTATCGATCTGCAAGCGGCTGTATTATCTAGCAAATGACTATAGGTACAGCCCTACATAATACGCTATAGCGGGTTGAGAACAATCCGGTCTGAGGAAAAATGCCTTTACGCACGACCTCCGACGGGGGCCGGAGAGTGTGGGGCTCGAGAGAGCACCTGGATGCTCCTTTGAGTCAGAGTCCTGGGTGTCCTAATACCCACCAAAACCTCAGGGCTGGTGGCCCAATCTTCGGGTAAGAATTGTTTGTTATCTAAGGTATTTTGCCAGGTGGCTTTCACGCGGTCTGCAGCTTGATGGGTACGTTCGATCTTATTGGCTGTTATGCGGTCGATTTGTAGTCTTCGGTTGATGGCATTCCGCCATCGCGATTGGAAGGAGGAAGGTGAGTGGTTACAGTCTTGGATAACCCATTCACATTGTAGGACCCAAACCAGGTAAAGTGATTCGGATACTAGGATTTGGAGTAGGCGGGATGCTCCAGGGTTATGGTTCACAGTGCGGGGGGGTTCATGTTCGTGCATGTCAGTCATTCCATTCTGTTCTTCGCTATTCAGGGGGAAGGAGAGTTTTCCACACCTTACCAGTGCACCGTAATTCAGGGTAGGCCAAGGTCAATAATTCTCGGGCCAGATATCGGCCGCTGGGAGCCATATGATCCATCGTGCAGGTGAGAGGCATTCTAGTAGAATGTGATCGACATTATCTGACCTGTCTTTACAGGTAGGGAAAATAGCCCAGTCCTGGTACCCCAGTATGGGGGACCAGAAGTGACCTATGCGGTAGGCCTGTTGTGTAGCTTTAAACAGGAATTGTTTTATCAAGGGACAGAAGTTAGGGTTCCAGCACGAGAGCCAGTCCATCTTGGACGCGCAATATCGTGCACGTGGTTGTATGCCTAGGGGGGGAGTGCTGATAAGCCTCAGGATTGTCTGACCCCTGAAAACGCGGACTCAGCACATCGCTTTTATGGGCTCTAAAGAATTGCTCTATTTAGCTCCAGACTTCCTAGCATCCTGGAGGCATACACGGACCCATTCCGTGATTTATCTCTCTGAACAGGAGCTCCGGAGCGACTTAACCAATGCAACTTCTAGATGAATTAGCTCCGGGGCCGCGGACACTTCTATTGAGGGGCATCGTCCTCATGCCCACCCTCCAGCACTCACTCCCCCTCGTTTCCATCAAGATACCGAAGGTGCGGACGTATACAAGTCACCATGAGGTCAGCATCAGTCAGCAAGCAGCCGGAGGTAATTAGCACGTGACCGGCGCATCGCATGGAGTGATGGGACTGCTTGGGTCAGGTGGCGGAGCGTTGAGGTGACCTCTAGGGGCTGGGATGAGCAAGTGGGAGTGCAAGAGGGTCGCATGGTGTATGGTATAATGGCGGCAAGTGCTGAGCAATCCTGTGGGTAGCGGCATTTATTTGTTATTTATCTCCGGACGGTTGCAAAGCCATTCCTGTAGTATAAATTGTACAAAGTAGCGTACAGAAAAACAAGTTTTGCACTTCACCATCTCAGAGAATTAGCGTTACGATCTCGGTGACCCTCGAAGTTTGAAAGCGTCGAACTTAGCGAATTATAACCGATCCTAGCTTTGCCAATAGGCCTGACTCGTCGAGTGATTTATCTCCGCCGTCGGTTTAACTATCTCCGGTGCGTTCTACTTAGCAAAGTAAAATTAACCAAGTCTCTCTAGCAATTTCTACCCCCACGAGCACGATCCTATGACAGGCGTCATTGCTTGTGACTTTGATTGCAACTCTTCGGAGATAAATACTCCGGAGCATCAACTAGCATTTGTCTTTAGGCGTCAAAGTATTTGTTTTATTTTTTTAGGTCTTCCTACAGACTACCCTACGACGTCTTACTCCTCCTTCCCCCTCGAACTATTAAATACCCCTCAGTTGTCTCAGACCGCTGATATGCACTGACACACAACAATCACCAAGGACCAAAAGAAATAAACCTAAACCCCGTGATATGGGTGAAGGCGGTCC